ATTGCCTGCATTTTGAATATTGTTTAAGTGAGTTTCCAAATAACATCACATGGTTGTTGACAGTTGAGATGATGCTTTTACATGTCAGCTTATTGTGTTGTGGCCAAAGATTCAGTTGGAAAGCAAATTTCGATTGCCTTTTTGGAACGTTTAAAAGCAGACTTTAAGAAAAGATATGGTGGTGGTAAAGCAGATACGGCTGTTGCGAAGAGTTTGAATAAAGAATTTGGGTATTTTTGTCTTCACTTTTTTTTCTTGAATTCGAGTACTCAACCTCATAGAGAAGCAATAATTACAATAAATATGTCCTGATACACACAGACCATGTATGAAGGAGCACATGAAGCACATAATTGACCATGCTGACGAAATTGAGAAACTACTAAAGGTTAAGGCTCAAGTCTCTGAAGTCAAAAGCATTATGCTCGAAAACATAGACAAGGTATAGTTTATGAACTTTGACAGGCTCCATTTGGCTCCAAGATTTCGGTAGGAAGCGTGATTACCACTTTTTTACGTTCTTTAGTTTATATATCACCAATACATGGAAGGAGTAGCAACTCCTACTGAAGAAATAACAAAAATACTTTTCTTTGATTGGTATGAAAGTCTTGTATATGTTTCAGGCTATTGAAAGAGGAGAAAATTTGACAACTCTTACCAACAAGGCAGAAGATCTACAAAATTCGGTAGGGTTGCATGCATTTTAAAAGATTTAAATAAACTCTGAGAGATGTTATGAGGTTAGTTAAAAATCTTGTCTTGCCCACAAAAATGTCAGGCCAAACAATTCAAGAAACAGGGGACTGAAATCCGTCGCAAGATGTGGTATCAGAACATGAAAGTAAAGCTGGTTGTGCTAGGAATTCTCGTCTTTTTGGTGCTTGTAATCTGGCTTTCTGTTTGTCATGGCTTCAACTGCGCCAACTAGCATAGTCATTCTCGCGCAACTAGGCATACCTGATTCACTTCTAGTCTTCCAAACAAGACATTGAGAAGCACTTCATGCTTGCAGAACATTACAATGAAGCTGTGGGGTTTCTTTTTCTTTTCTTATATTGTTCATTCTATATTCTTGCCCCAAAAGAAGGAAATGGTCAGTAGGAGGGCGGGCGGGCAGGAGGCTTGTTGTGCTGCAATTGCATATTCTTTAGGTTAGATGAGATGTAAACATTCTTTAGATTGAAATATAGCGGAAAGGATGATTTTTGCAATAGAATGAGCTACTACTATTCAATTTGTATACATTCATTCCAATAATCAACCGATCACTCGAAAATAACTATGTTACCGTAACAGAGCTTTTCGCAAACAGGTTGGCAAAAGATGTTCGTTTACGGAATTACGTATCAGCTATGTTTTTATTTTCAAACATTGACTCTTATATTGGGTTGATTAAGCTAAATAATAATCAAAAGGAGGGCACACGAGTTTTTGGTGAAATGGATGGAATTAAATAAAGCCACACTTTTATCTTTAGTTGTAATTTTGTACATATACTATAGAGAATCATATTAATTTATTTAAAATGAAATTATTTGGAATATTCCAGTTCTTCAATACTCCGTATAAATAGTGCTGGACTCGGGCCGGGCGGCCCGGCCCGGAACCGGCCCGGCCCGGTTACTGTTTGGCCCGGCCCGGCCCGGGGCCCGGTGGGTCCCTCGGTTCGGTTCGGCCCAGCCCGGCTGCTGGGCGGTTCGGGCCCGGGCCCAGGTTTTGGTGAACCGGCCCGGCCGGTTCGGGCCCGGTCCGGGCCGGATTTTAATTTTTTTTTTTTTTGAAATTTTTTTAAGTTTTAGGTTGGATTAGGTATTTTGGGCCATTTGAGGTGGTTTGGGATGGTTTGGGGTTGAAGGGGAGGGGTAGGGGATTAAATAAGAGAACAAAAAAAAAAATTATTGGGCCGGTTCGGCCCGGCCCGGCCTGGCCCGGTTTGGCCCGGAACCGGGACCGGAACCGGCCACCGGCGGTTCGGGCTCGGGCCTCCCTTTCCTGGCCCGAGGCCCGGCCGGGCCCAGGCCCGAACCGGGCCCGAACCGGCCCGAGTCCAGGCATACGTATAATACTAAGCCATTTCTGGATCCATTCAATGTTTTGGATAGATAAACTCAGTAGGAGAAATGTCTCTCTTTTTTTGGCAAAAGAAACCTATCTTATTTTAGTTTGTATATTGAATATTTGGGATAGTATAACATGCCGCTGCAAATTGGGTAGTATTAAAAGCTTGAGCTCCATTTTAAAAGATCATTTTGATACAAGTAATCCAGAATCTTAAATTTCATAGTAACAATCTCTCAAAAAAAATCAATGTGATATTTTATATTCCTCCGATGAATGATCCAAATAATGAAATAAACCATAAACGCTTTACCTTTTATCATGGATGCTAGCTAAAAATAATTAGGTTACAACTTACAACTAAACCAGACTCGGATATTATATTATGATTTAGAGTTTCATCATCATAAGAAGTTAGACTATTTCAATTCAATATTTTATACGTAGTATATTTGTTTGGAAATTAGAAAGTTTCAGTTTCTCTCCATTTCTTATCAATTTCTTTTTCTCTTCCTATCTCTCACTACATTTCTATCTATCTTACTCATCCATATACCCCACTTAAAATCTCCTCCTCTCTATCTCTCTCCCACCGGATCCAAATTCAAATTAGAGACTACTAATTTCTAGGCGTTGCCAATGGCTTTTATTTTTAATTTATTACTATATTTTAATTTGACATGTTTTTTGAATTTAATACTTAGTACTCCCTTCGTCCCGGTTGAATCTTGACGTTTGCTTCTGACACGGTGTTTTAGGAGCTCAATTAATAGAAGAAGTTGGTGGGTAGTGAAAGGTAATTAAGACATTTAATGTAAAAGGAATTGTTTAAAAATGAAACGTAAATAAGTAAATGAGACGTTCAAAAAAGAAAAGTGTAAAGATTCAAATGGGACCGAAAGAATATTATGTATACTTCGAGTTTTTTTCCAGAATAATACTAATTTAATAAATAATTCCCAAAATAATGTTGGGTTAAGAATAATTCCCAAACTAACGTGGGATTAACACCCGTTAACAAAGATGCGGTTGGAGTTGGCGAACGAAACCAAGCATGGAAAGGAATGCAGCAATTCAAATCACTGTAGAGATTTAAAAAAAGAAATCTCTATTTCTTTAAATTGCTATAACTTTTTATTTGTAATCTGATTTTTACAAACAATACATCAAAATTTCACAATTTTTTATTATCTTTCATATGACACTAATATTGCATATACAAAAAAAATCCAAAAATACGTTTGGTGGAGGTTGTCATATTCAATTTTTCTAAGTCGGTCCAGGTTCTAAAATTAAGAGCATGTTTGGTAATGCCGAAATTGACTGAATTGGCTAAAATTGATCAAATTACGAGTCAAGTGGCTGAATTGACTAAATTTGCTTAGTTATGAAATAATTATTTTTAAACTATATTTTATTAATAATTTAAATAAAAATTACGGGTATATGATAATAATTAAATGATCATTTAGAGAATCTTAATATACAATATTAATTATTATACACGAAAAGTAAATACAACCTTACTTATTTTGATTATTGTAATTATTATGCAATATTTAGTAACTTTAGTCTTACTTATTTTGATTAATATACAATTCATCTATCGTCAACACAATATGAAATTGGCTGAAGTTACTATATATTGTATCATACTTAAAATAATCAAAATTGATAAGATTGGAGTTACTTTTATTGTCGAATGTTCTATAAATGAACATTTTAGCTATTATAATGGATGATCCAATTGAAGCTATTGTTAAGATCACATCCCAATTTTGAAAAACAATGTAATGACATTTTTTATTTTAATTCCAAGACAATTCTAGCGCCAACCATTGATAAACGCGATAAGATCAATGATTACATGTTGGTACTAACTGCATGTGAGGTAAAGATATACTAAAGCTCAGATTCAACGTCTCCTTTTGACTCAGATAGTGCATTCTTACAAGAGATCCACTTTCCAGAAATTTTCAATACCATTAAATGCTCTTGTGTGCCAAGCCATGTGTTTTGGATTGAGAAATGGCACTCGCGTTATGTTCACTATACTCGGAGCCCATACTCTCGATGCTCGGATGATGTATGGAATCAATGGAGGACAAAAAATTCTTATTCGGAAACTTAGCTCGACTCCATCCGACCTAAAGTTGTTGTTTACATTTCAACGCAACCAACTCTCTTTGATGTTTAGTTACGTGATGACCATTAATTAGAATCAGAGATAGTTTTTGCACAGGCTTGAAGTTACTTTTCTAGGCGAAGATTCTGTAAATAAACATTTTAGTTATTTTATTTTCATATAATTTTTCTTTATGTTATAAATAAAATGTATTTAAAAATAATTATTCTATAACTAAGACAACTCAATCAATCCTGCCCTTGACTCATAATTTCAACTTCAACAGATTCGATCAACTTCAATGTTACAAAACATGCTCTTAATTTTAGAACTTAGATCGAATTAGAAAAATTGAACATGACTTCCTCCAGCAATTGTATTTTAAGATTTTTCGTTATTGTATATGCAATATTGATGTCATATGAAAGATATAAAAAATTGTCAATATCATGTTAGGAATATTTTTTATAGCAATGTAAAGAATTAGAGAGATTGTTTTTTTAAAAGTTTGGGTCCCACTACAATGATTTGAATTGCTGCATACGTTTCCTTGCTTCATTATGTTCGGCGATATGGGTGGACTCGGTTCGGGCCGGGCACGGTTCGGGCCTTGAACCGGCCGGGCCTCGGTTCACCAAAAGGAGGGCCCGGACCCGAACCGGTGGCTCCCGGTTTCGGGCCAGACCGGGCCGGTTCCGGGCTGGGCCACTCGGGTCATTTTTTTTTGCTTCTCTTATTTAACCCCCTATCCCTCCCCCTTAACCCCAAACCACTTCAAATGGCCCAAAATGTGACATACACAATACTATGTCATTAAGTAAACAAATTGTGACATATTTATAACTTAAGCTCAATTTTTACGCTTGAACGATCATTACACAATACTATACTAACTTTTAGTCATATTTTTATTAATAAGTTTTATTTTAATAATAATTTAGAAATAACCTTCAAAATAAAAAGGACACTGTAACCTTACACATGATTATTCTCATTCACCTTCCGGCTTCCACCTTGTGCCAAAAAATGGTGTGTAATCCACGTCTTTCCCACCAGTCTATCCAAGCAACTGAAGCAAGGTAATGTTAACAATCCGTATCAACTTGGGCTACGGGAAGGGTCATTATTTCTCTAGGTGTATTTATTTTGCCGGAGGGTACGGATGTACTGTTCAACTAGTGATGTGGGACCAAGGCCCATTAACACCAACAAGAAGAATCACTCATTTTTAGGGGTGGGTTCGGTTCTTTCGGTTCAGTTTTGACCTAAAACCAAATACGGAACCCAAGTAAAAGTTCGGTTCGGTTTCGGTTCGGTTTTACACTCCAAAACTTGGAACCACGGTTTGATTGGTTCGATTTTTTTCGGTTCGGTTTCGGTTCCTTCGGTTATTTACTAAAAATTTGTCATTTGATTTAAAATTGATATAATAGTTGGAGGGATCAAAGAAATTACATAAAAAATGCAAGCATACTAGAATAAATGAAGTAAAAATAAGAGTAAATAAACATGTCTTGAATTATATGAGGATGCGGAAGACATATAAGTGTATACATTCTTAATTTACATTATTTGTGTCTAGTTTGAAAAAAGTTCATGAATACATACGTCCTATGTGATACTTTATATAGCTAAGATGAATATTTATTTGTTTTACCGATAAAAAAATAAGTTACATAAAAATAAAATTTAATTAATACTAATAACCAGTAAAAACAATAATCATGCAACAAATTGCAACATACATAAATCGATCAATATAGCTACATTATCATAGGCAATGAATGTGTAAATGCAATTACAAACTAAACTAAACTAACATAACACAAACATTATTTCTCTAGCACATAAAAATCAAAGACTATTGATAATATTAGGATTAATGCTTAAAAATTAACAAAAAAAATTTCATATTTTAAATACTTCGGTTTGTTCGGTTCGGTTTTGAAGGGTAAAAACCAAAACCGAACCAAATAATTACGGTTCGGTTCGGTTTTTTACATTCGGTTTCGGTGTTTAGCAGTTCGGTCTTATTTGGTCGCGGTTCGGTTTAATTTGATTCGGTTTTCGATTTTTGGTTTTCCGGACCCAGCCCTACTCATTTTAGGGGTTATCCCAGTCTGGTTCTGGTCATATATTGGTGCTAACTACTCGCTATAACTGGGAGTCTGGGACCGGTTATTGCAAGTCC